CGCAGTCGAGCGATCGAGTGGAAACCGATCAATCACAATCCACCTCACCTAGAGATCGTTAGCTCGTTGAACCCAGGGGGGGTCTAAAGTGCGTACCAATTACCTGGTTGTCTCTTCAGGTTGAATACGCATAGGTATCCTACTCCCGTTACTACTACTACTACGCAACCCCTACAGGTCTGACTACAATTATCCGTATCGATTTTTCTCACGTTTGCATATTTGTGTATACGGGCATGTGCTCCCACCCACTCAGCTCCTGGTTGACATGATATTTTACACTGTACTCAGATGAGATTGGGTAGCTTGTATCTCTGAAGATATGTATTTACATGAATGTGTTCATACATGATTAGTTGCAACACATGTTACCCATTTCAAGTGCTATTCGTGACATTCTGTGCTTGCCGTTTTATTGCTACACTTTTCCCCTGTTTATTCGACTGATTGACTCCTTTTTATACTGGTATTTAATTCATATGCGTCATTATTGTCATTAATATTATTCATTATGTCACCTTCATTCACATGATATGACTCCTTTTGAATTTATCCCCGCCACGTTGCCAAGCGGTTGATATGCACGCGCACACGCACGCGCACACTTATTTGTATGCGCGCATATCATATGCGTATGGCGTTATGAGTACAAGGAAAATCATGTTTGCAGTTGCAGTGGATTTATGGCTATTTTTTCTCTCTCTTCCTAACCGTCAACATGTGCCTTTTTGATCATTTATGCTCATGTATTGAGGAATAACGTCTCTCATGTACGGCTATCCCAAGTCTGGTTTCTCTATCTATCTCTCATCCTCACTGCGTTCTTGCATATAGTTTCATGTGTTCTCTACAACCGTTGTTCACATTGATCCCCTCATTGTAGCAATTGGTCCGGTGTGCTCGTTCCGGTTTTTTCTCTCTCTCTCGCTGGAAATGAATTAGCGAACTGTTAAGAGTTTCGTTTTGTTTCTGTTGTTTTTGTTTTTTGCCCGAGGGCGGTTACACCAACCGAGTCTGTGCGATTCGGTCATAGGGTTCGTTCTGAATCGTGACAGTAAAGTGGTTGCTCCGACCCCACCCTAGTCCGTGAATTTGGTGATCTGTTCTATTCATCGTTATTGCTTTGCTCTGATGAGTATTTTCCACCTGAATGCCTTTTTTGTTTGATCATTCTCAATGAAGATCTTGGTTCAAATGTGCTCGTAAATACCTGCACTAATCTGTAAAAAGCCACCGAAACCGTTCAACACTTGTTGGCGCTGAGTAACCTAATGATCTCTCGCCGCACTAGCGCCTATCCTATTGATCTAGTTTACCGCCTTGAGTAGCACCACTTTAGGTTCCTAATCATCCGCATCGTTTACTGTACTGTTACTTGCAGTGCAATCCTTTTTTTAGCGAAAATTAGTCTAATGCAGATAGCGGTGAAATCTGTCCATCTTTCATCCTCTACTCTGTTACCGGGCCCCAGTTTACCGAATGCAACTCAGTTGTGTAGGTAGCGTTCGGCTCTCTGAATGGGGACTTCGAGACCATTGTAATCAATAGTTAGATACACTGGAAGAGAAGGCTGAGTGTCGTAAACGGTGGCGCTCGTGCATCTCGATTCCTTTGAAGCCTTAGTCTACCGGAAGGTTAGTTTTTTCAAGTTCTGAATCTGATCCCCACAAGAAGATGAATTTCAGTATTGCTTAAACCCTTCTGCCCTGTTCGTTCAACCGTACCTTGCCAGACTAGGCAACAGCAGCCTCTCAAGTACATGTAGCATTCATCTGTTGCACCAAACCTCGTATTCAGTTTTCTCCGAGTAGAGGAGACCATGTGTTGGTAGAGTCAAGAAAGTGTATGCTGTCCAGAGACGAGGAATTGTGCGGAAAGATTAGACGGATTAGGTATCTGTCATATTCCTGGAAAAGGTTTAACTGAGAAACATGGTAGCGAACCTTCAACCATGGCGTTTTTTTCATTATTCCATCTCAGATCAGACTACCATTATGTATGCGCAGTCAGATTGTAAATTCTTTCTGTTGACCGTGGTGCTTCATATTGCTCTCCCGTCTCTCAAAACGGACCCGTTTCCTATCAATCTTAGACATTTATATTTACCTTATTCACATAGTGAGCTTGTCAGATAGTGGAATTACAGATAGAAGTGGATTAAATTTTATACTTGCTCACTTTACTGTGGCTGGCTCCTTGGAAAGGATAAGCCGGCTCCAGACAATCATGATGGAGTTCCTTGGGAGTTTGGTGCGAGAGACGTCCCCAGCGTCACTCGGTTTTATGTTCCGGAATGTGATTCGTTCATTCTCTTGCCTAAATGGTAGAATCTCGAACAGTATCTAATCGTTAACTTTAGTGAACACAAGCTGTTACATTAATCCCAGTGACAAGGTCTAGTTTCTTGCGTGTTGCCTACCGTTCGCTGCGTCTCCAGTTATCGTTATTTGGTTCGGCTGACCACCTCGATGTGTTGCTTTTGACTAATATTGTAGATTTCATAATTTATGCCATTGTTTTTATTGTACTATGATATCACTCGAGATATTTGTTGGCGTAAGCTGGTTTCGAAGCACTGCTGCTGTTCCCCGTGCGAGAGCTACACCTTCCTGTCTGATGGTCATTCGTTCACAGTTGTGCACCATTGCACTGACGGCGTGTCACCGATGTTAGCCATTGCAAATAACATCGTTCTTACCGCTGATGCCGGATTTTATTTCCTTGAGTATCTGGCATCTGATTTCTGCATTGCTGTCAGGTTTTTCGTGGACTATCCTGGAGATTTCAATCCCCCCAACCCCATCGCTAGTTCACGAATGCTTGCTGTAATATCTTGTGCACGGAACTGCCCAAAATCGACTGGTTTCACCGATTTCTGTTACTTATCAATCATGGTACGAAATACAAGCAAACTTCCGAAGTTACACCACCAATATCTCTTATTTCTGTATCTCTATCTGGTATGTCCATCACTGTCACTTGCGTTCGTTGTTGCTGCTGCTGTTCTCTCTATGATATCGTCTCTGAAATAGTTGAATTGTTAGTAAAAGGATAGAATCTGCAGGGCGATATTGGTCAACAATCTTTGGTATTTGTTAGCAAGACATTTGTAATACCCAGCACTATGTAATCAGAAGAACGGTTTGACTATCGTTGTAACTCGTTAGTATTGCGTAATATGTAGTGTCCTTGCTAGGACCAAACCATGAATTCCTGAGACCAGCAGTCGAAATCCTTAGCCGTGAAAATATTCGATCAATGGCAACGAGCCTGGGGTGCCAGTAATTCTTCAAGATCATTTTCTGGCAGCCCAGAGTTTGTAAAGTCGTCTATGTCAGTCCCGCAACAAATTTATGCAGCACATGATAGCGATAATTCCTGGATTTACGGTTAACTGCAACGAGGGTATAATGCCGTTTCGACCTTGCAAATCTTTTGTCAAATTAACTGGGTTATGTGGAGTTCACGAAGAAACCGACTTTCTATCATAATATCACGTTCGTTGTTACATATCGTGGTCATTTTTCAAGCATGGTTGTAGGGCGTTGGAAAAAAAATTACGGATTTAGGTGTAAGGTTACAGCGCATGACACTTGTTCAAAAATCGTGCCGACGTTTGTTGATCTGACAGAGTGCATGCGTAATTTTCAATCTGACCCTTTTAACCTGTGAATCAAGTAGGTTTTCGGTTAAAAAGTTTCATTTTTTGTTTCAAGTGGTTCTTGTGATACGGAAACTGTTCGGAGAAATATAGTAATTCAAGTCCTTTAAACGATTCAAGTTGTTTTTGATAACTCATCCACTGGTCATTGACATAGTG